ACTCTAGCTTCCTCCAAGTATTTCTATGGGAACGGTTCAAAGGGATAGAAGTATCTCTGCATCCTTATTCCAAGGTCAAGGAATCTGCTGATTCTGATGGCGGTTCGTATGTGCTGGAGAAACTTCCTCTGATCTGCCGATGGTTCCGACGTACGCAGAGGAAGGGCCAAAATTTTCTAGAGCTGCTGGATAATGTTGAGAGCTTCATCTTCCGCCCTTATTGTGCCTTGTCGGAGGGGTTTAGCCATGTGCCTCTTTATGCTGACTCTGATGATTTGATTGAGGTTCCGGCGACTACGGCACGGGGTCGTCGACTACGAAGAGAGGCATTGTTGAGTGCCGCACGTTTTCCTTTGCCGGCACTGGGTGACGACCATTTAGAAGCCTCTGTACATTATGCAGCTCACCGAGTCAGACGACAGCTTGGATTCGATCAAGGTGTGCCTTCCAATCCTAGTCATGGGGATCTCTCTTCGTTACATAAGGTTTTTTGGACCGAGGGCAACATACCAGAAGATAGCAACCTCTTTGCTCTTACTTTGGCTGACAAAGGGCGCGTCGGTGGCCTCTCTAAAACTTACCAAAGCTACTGGAATCGCTGCTTTGCTTCATTCAGCCGGTTCCATGCCACTCATTGTGACAGGTTGCTTCCCACTATGATCCATCACGCTCGTCTAGTATTCGAAGAGAAGGCAATTTCCTTGAGTGAAAAACGAAATCTGCCCTTTACCTCCAAAAGTGCGGAAATCATTGGTGATTTCTCCAAGCTAAAACAGAAATTAGAGAAGCCCAGCTCTCGCAGTGCCGGAAGAAGTACTGCACATGGGAAGCGGAAGCGAGGGGAAAGCTATAGTGTCGAGAAGAAGAGGCATGCTGCAAAAAGCCCGAAAAGATTTATTCCTATGGTAGCGGCGAGCGGTCCTCCCAGCTCTAAAAAGAATGCTCCTGCAGTGCCCTTGCTACGGCAGCAGCCTGTGGCTTCTGTCAGCAGCAAACAAGTCGACAAGACGTCGGAAGCTCCGCCT